TACAGTTTTAGAAGTTGGCTGCTAAATAGAAAATCCTTGGAGGGGAGCCTGTCATTCAGTGATTGTTATTTGGAATCACTGATTCAAAGCTGACCCTCTTGTAGGCTTTTGGAAGCCATAAATCACACAAGAAAAGACTGCCCATCTTTATTACTCAGAGCTGCTCTAACTTCTGGAAGGATACGTTGGGTTAGTGGCATAACTCCCTAAAAAATAAGTATCCAGAGTTCCATTCACATGGACTCAAAAGTTAAAGTCATTGCTATGAAATCGGAACCAACTCATAGCTGAGAGGTAATAAATCTCACACGGGAGAAGATTGCCCATCTTTATTCAGCAGAGCAACTAATGGTTTTGAACCACCTGCCTTTGGGTTGGCAGCCCAAATCCTTACCCTCTAGACTGCTAGAACTCCATTCACTTGGACTATTGTTATGTGCTGAGTGTAACTCATAGTGGCCCTATGAAAAACAGATCTGAACCCTACCCTGTCCTGGTGCCAGCCTCATCATCTCTGATATACTTGAGCCCACTGCTGCCGTCATTGCCCCAGTTAATCTCTTGATTTCCCTAGGAAATAAAGCATGCTCTTTCCTGTGACTAGTCCCTCCTAGTAGCAACAGTATGTCAGATGAAACTTTGCCGTTCTTGCCTTCAGGTAGCACTCTGACCACACCTCTCAAAGATAAATCTGTATGTTATTTTGGCAGTGCATGAGATATTCAGTACTTTTCTCCAACATCATCACAATACAAATGCATCAGTTTTTCTTCTGTCAGCCTTATACATTGTCCAGCTGTCAGGAGCACAGCAAATGATTGAAAAGACCATGATCTGAATCAGACAAACCTTCAAATCAGACAAAGTCTTCAAGCTCACATCATTGCTTCTTGGCACTTTGGAGAGGTCCTTGACAAAAGACGTTCTAGCAACACTGAGGCCCCAGGAATCGATGGGATACCAGTTGACATGCAACTAACAGATGAAACTCACTGGTCGGTGTATATTTGGAAGATAGCTACTTGACCAGCTAACTAGAAGAGATCCATATTTGTTCCTGTTTGGAAGAGGTAATTCAACAGAATGTGGAAATTATTGAACTATATCATTTCTACAGTGAGAAGAATGGGAATACCAGAGTACTTGATTGTGCTCATGAGGAAACTATACCTAGAAAAAGAATCTGGTTTGTGAACCCAGCAGGGGAGCACTGCCTGGTTTGGAATTGGGAAGGGAGTGAGTCAGGGATATATTCTATCTCTGTACCTGTTCAATCTGTATGCTGAGCAAATTATTCAAGAAGCTGGACTCTAAAGAGCATTATTTTTATCGTAGGAGTATGCAATGAGGGTTGCCGAGTGGATTATATTTGGGGGTAGGGGGTGGAGTTTGGGGATGCGGGGGGGGATTGTGTACCAATGAGGGAGTTTTTCTTTTGCTTTTCAAGGAGAGGAGCAAATGGGGGGGGGGAGGTTTGTGCGGGGAGAAGGGTGCTACAATGAATGAATGGAATCCCAAAATCTCTGTAGATGTTCATTGAAATGAAAAATAAACAAACTAAATTTAAAAAAAAGTAGCAAGGAAACGAAGATTCTTACCACTGCACCAATAAGCATTATAATGACAGAGGGAGAGGAGATTGAAATTGTCAACAAATACATCTTGCTTGGACCCACAATTAACACCCTTAGTATGAGCAGTCAGGAGACACATTGTACTGGGAAAAACTGCTGTTGGTGACCTTTCCAAAGTATTGAGGAGTAGTGATATTAGTTTGAGGAATAAGGTGTATTTCAGCCCATAGTCTTTCCCATTACTAGCTGTGCATCTGAGACAATGAATAAAGATGAATTAACGCCTTTGGGCTGTGGTGTTGGAGAATAGCACTGAACATGGACCACCAAGAAAATGGATAGGTCTTCGAGAGGCTGCAGTCAGAGTGCTCTTTGGAGACAAGAATGACTTTGGACATACTGCTAGGCGATGCTCTTCCTTGGAGAGGGACCTGATGTTGGGAAAGGTGGAGGGTCGGCAAAGGAGAGGACCCTCAACCAGATGGATTGACACGATGACTGCTACAATGGGCTCTTGTGTGTCAGGAATTGTGTCAGGACCGTTTCAGATCTTTTGTTCATAGGGTTGCTATGAGTCGTACTCAACTTAGTGGCACATATGATATGACAGCATATCAGCAACTTATCATTGCATGTAAACAAAATAATGCTGAAGATCATGCAAAAACCATTAGAACAGTACATTGACTAGACTGCCAGAAGGTCAAACTGGGTTTAGGAGAGACTTTGTCTTCAGGGATATCATTGCTGATTTCAGGTGGATGTCAGTCTGTATTTATTGACTATGCAAAGACATTTGACTGTGTGGATCACAAGAAATTATGGCTAACATTGAAGATTGGGAGTGAAACCAGTACCTAGACCAAAAAGCTGTTGTCCAAACAGAGCCAAGGAACACACTGCTGATTCATTGATGGTTTAAAATAAAAAAAGATGTACATCAAGGCTGTATCATTTCTCCATACCTCTGTATGCTGAGCAAACCATTCAAGAAGCTGGACTCTGAAGAAAATGTGGTATCAAAATTACTAGAAGACTGACTCATCAACAGCCTGCATTATGCAGACGACACAACCTTGATTACTGAAACTGGAGAGGGTTTGAAGTGCTTGCTGCAGAAATTAAAACTCAGCCTTCAGTAAAAATGTTCAACAATATGACACTGGACTGAAAGGCAACATCATGATAGAGAAAATACTGAAAATTGCCAGTTTCATCTTAACTTGGATCCACAACCAACACCCTTGGTACCAGCAGTTAACAATCACTTAGACTAGGGTAGTGTTGATGGGACTAGAGGAAGTAGATGCAAGAACATTTTGGATATGGAATTGACAGGACTTGAGAAATAATGAATTGGAAGATGAAGAAAACATTAAATGTGACATTCAGATTTCAACTGTGAGATCATGATGAAGTGGGAAGTAGAAGCAAAAGATGTTTTGAACATAGAAATAAGAAGAGGCCTGTGAGATAATGAAACAAATCTGTTAATGAAGCAGATCTGTTAATGGTGTGACCTGGAAGTATGCTAACTTCACAGAAAATATTTAGAGAGATGAGCTTTAAGAGTCCTAACTGAGGTTGATTCTGATTCATAGTGACCCTATAGGGCAGGGTTTACCTGCTCCATAAAGTTTCCAAGGCTGTAAATCCTTATGAAAGCACTTTCTGTAGTAGAGGAAGAACCAGTAGATTAGTAATAAGGACATCTTGGTTAGCAGCTGAGCACTGTACCAGTCAATATCTCACTGTTCCTTCTGAAAAGGAGAGAAAGCAGGAAAAATGCAACATTGCTATTGTGTTCTAAACTTGTTTAAAAAATTATTTATCACACAATAATTTTTATGCTCCATGTCACATACTTTGGGCATGTAACCAGGAGGAACCAGTCCTTGGAGAAGGACATCATGCTTGGAAGGGTGGAGGGACAGTGCAAGAGAGGAAGACCCTGGATGAGATGGATTGACTCATGGCTCAAGATAGAGCAGAGCTGTTATACAGAAGGTTACTATGAGTCACAAGTGACTCATAACAGCACATAACAACGATAACGAATAGTAGATGGCCTACTGGTAAGGAGCTCAAAACTGGATAGTTCATATCTACCAACTGCTCCACTGTAGAAAGATGGGTGCACACACACTGCCTGCTCCCACACCCGCACGATTAACTGCCTCCGAAAACCCACTGGAGGGTCAATTTCTTGTTGCTTCCAGCTTGATGGTTCATAACAACAAATGTCTAGATGGGCATCTGTCTTAGGTGTTTAAAACTTCTTCCCTGAAAAAAAATCCCCCAAACTTAACAATAAATTATAAAAGTATAACTAAGATTTGGGCAGCAAGGAGACTAGATTAGATGATAGTGGGCTGTATTGGAAAATGCAAATACAGCGGGAAAATACACATGTAAGGCTTTAACATGGATATTTCAATCCTTTCTGTCCTTTTAAATATGACAAATTTAGGAATCTGTAACTTACTTTGCAGATTAAAGCAGTCTAGGTCCATAGTATAAAATTTAGAAAATAAAAAATAGAATGAAATAGAAATGGATAGCAGAGTAATTCTACAGACCTAGAAATAGTGTTAGCATTTCTTGTGTTTTCTCATTCTTTTTTGTAAATATTTTATATTCATATAAGCATATATCAAATTGTGATCATGTACTTTTATATCTTTCATTATATGCTCAAAACAATTGTTAACTTCTTTGTTGAAAAATTTGTATAACATACAGAAAAGTGATCATAATTATATAATCTCCTGTCATCAAGTCAATTCTGTCTCATAGTGACCTTACAGTTCAGACTTGTTATGTGCCATTGAGTTAACCAAAATTAGTAGTTACTCTATCGACAACAAATTTGAATTCAATAGCATTCGGTTAGAATTCACCATCTGCTCCATGGGAGAAGTATGGGCAGACTCCTCCAGTGTTATTTACTGCCTCTGAAAATCCACTAGAGGGTCAGCTGTGAATGGATTGTATCTTGATGGCACACAGCAAAAATGATAGCATCATCAAGGCTGCAGTCTTTATGGAAGCTGAACTGTCTCGCTAGGAAGAATTCCTTTATAAGGGTATTGTCTATTATACACATTTAGCACACTTTTGTAAAAACAGTAGCTATATCAAGAGGTACATCTCACCAAAGCTATTAATCTTTGGGATTTGGTTTCTATTGGTGGATTAAGACTTTCTGAATTGGAGAAATCCAGAATTAATATTTCTGATAGGAGTTTTATTATTACATTAGTTTGGGTTTGATTTAGAGAAGTAACAGGAAATATGAGAACTATTTTTAATGTACCTTTATGTTTCAGTCAAGCAGTGGAAGAGTATTGAAGTTCCTTGAATCTGAGATTTTAAAGTGTATTTATTTGCAGAAACTTAAAAATACATTTTTTTCTTTCTTTGTAGGCACACAAGTCTCTGAATTTTGTGTCAACACTGCTTCAGATTACTATGTCGGAACAACTGGAATTACCTGTGAGACAGGCAGGCAAGTTTCCTGAATTGTTTCAGAAAGTTTGTTTAAAGATTGGTGGTTAAATAAGTGTCTTGAGTTGACCCATTAGGTAGTGCTTTATTTCCCAAAGAACTTGTTTGCCCTTTGATGTTTACTACAAGCAGTAAGTACTTTTCTGTTTGGTGACAGTTTAAGGAAATAATGTGATTGTTAGTGGGGTTAAGATAACCTGAAAGAGAAATTGTTACACTTAAGGATATTAAACAGGTAGTTGACTTTTTAAGTAGCGTTTTATTTATAAAAGGATAAAAGTTTATCTGATAGAAGTAATTAAACTGTAGAACTTAAAAGAGATTCACAGTGCATCAGAATAAATATTTTTGTTTATTTGGTTTATTGTTTTTCAAAACTTTCCTATATTTTAGGTGTTATATATTTGAAAAATATGATAACACAGTATTGGCCTGATCGAGAGACAGCACCAGGGGATATATCCCCTTACACTATTCCAGAAGAAGATCGACATTGTATTCGAGAAAATATTGTAGAAGCCATTATCCACTCGCCTGAGCTTATAAGGTAAGTATTTCACACAAACCTTAAATTCGTGTTTTTATGTGATTCTGCAGAACTAAGTTCTTAAATGAATCTTCAGGGTTGATGATAGGGATGAAAGAAAGATAGGATTATTTGTATTTGTAATAAATACTTGGTTACTTTTTAAAATGAAGGACAGTTTTTTCTGAATGGTTTATTTGGACTCATCTATAGTCTATAGATTCCAGATGGTAATTTCAAATTATGTTTGGAAAATAACTATTTTCTTTGTGTAAATTAGCAAAATTTTATCTAGGCAGTATTTCTTCTTCGTGCTTTTCTTTTTCTTTTTTTACTTTCAGGGTACAGCTTACTACATGCATTCACCATATCATCAAACATGATTATCCAAGCCGTTGGACTGCCATTGTGGACAAAATTGGCTTTTATCTTCAGTCTGATAACAGTGCTTGCTGGCTAGGCATTCTTCTTTGCCTTTATCAGCTTGTGAAAAATTATGAGTAAGTGTCTTCCTCCATTCCTATAGCGTTTTGAGAAGTAGGAAGTTTTAATGAATTAGTGTTAATCCAAAATTACATTTGATACATACTTTAAAAATTAGTGAATTTCATTATGACTTCAGTTTAGTGTTTTCTGGAATAGTGTTCCGGTGCCAATTCTATGATCTTGACTGAAATTTCTCATGCTCTTTTTCTTAATCATTGTGTCTTTTGCTGTTTATAAAAGCTATTTCCAAACTTGGGACTCTTTAATATGTGCTGTTAAAGGCCTTCTGATAAGGTTTTTAGAATGTGAAGTGATGACAGTACATTGAGCAGTAATGCATTTTTATTCTACTTTTCTTTCTGTGAACTTTTATTTGGTTGCTTATAAATTTCAGGAACTTTTAATCCTTAAAGTATATTATGTTGGAATTGTATATCTTTAAAAACTATTGTGTTTTGAGGGATTCACACGTACCTGTATTAAGCAAGACCATATAAATAATTGACGTTAATAGGAAGATTTTAAAGCTGATTTGATCACTTTAGTTTACAGTTGGGCTTAGGAACTTTTTCAAAAGGTCCTAGTCTTAGAAGTTGAGGTATATATAAAAAAAGTTGAGGTATAGTACTAAAAATGGTAAGCTGTATGTTGAAGGGCTTTCCTTTTAAGGGTGTGATGAAAGTGGTATCAGTAGGCACTTCAAAGTTTTGATATGGCAAAATTGTGAGGAAGGCATAAACAAGCATTTTATACCATGATAGTCATTATATCCAGTCCTAATAGCTACACAGATGCCATTGTGAACCTTCTGATTTGGAGATTGTTAGTTAGCCTCCAATATTCTTTTTGTGTTCCACCTCAAAGTAGCTGATGACTGCTGCTTTTGTTCTGAGCAGGAGAGAACTGTACCATTTACAGCATTGGTACTGGTGTTTTCTTGTGTTCCCACCAGCTACCCATCTTCCTGCTAAGGAATGTTCCAGCTGTTGCTTCAACCTCTGTCAGAGTGCCAGTTGGTATAGTTCTGGTAAGTGAGTGACTCAAATTAGAAAGAATAACAATAAGCTATCATTTTTGTGAGGAAGTTCGTCTCTCCTGGTCTATAATAATTAGCAGGAGAGAATGTGACAGGGATTTTTAAGTGGGATATAAAGAGACTACCACAATAGTCAAATTCTAGTTCATTTTCAGCCAGTTTGTGGAACACAATGTGTTCACAAGGAATCTGTGTGGACTGAAGCAGTTATGAGAAAAAGTCATGGAGAATTAGAAGTGCTGGCAGCCTTCACGAGCATAGATCCTCAGGAGTATCTTATCAAGTTAAAGGAACACAGAAGTCATGAAAGATGGCATGTCATATACCATAAGAAGTAATGTGAACAAAGATACAGATGTAAAAATGAGTCATCATCTTTAGATAGTAAGAAGACCATTAAATTATATAGATAATTTCTGTTGAGAAGTAGGAGATAATTTTGTGCTGGTCAATTGGGACTATCTTAATACAGTTTTAAGTGCTATAATAAGGATTTGATCTTTAGTTTTGTTTTTATAAAACAGAAAAATAGTGGATTAATATTAAAGAATTTCCCTTGAGCATGGTCACCGGGTTAGTACATCATAGATGGTTGTTGTATAGTATTTTCATACTTTTAGGAACTTAGAGATATTATGAAGTAGGAATTTCCTTAATAGTATAATGTCATACCCATTAGCTTAGGTTAAAAATTGTTAGCATTTGTTTTATATTCATTTAATCATGCTTGATATTTTCTATAATTAGACTACAATAATAAAAAAAAGCACATTCTGTAACAATACCACTTAACTCCCAGTTTATTATGCAATGTAATGGAATAAATAAGAAAGAAGAATTTCTAATGATCATTCAAACCCTCCTAGTGTGAGTGGAAAGCGTTTATAACTCGCAGTTTCTTTAAATGGGAATTTTGTCTATAATCTGCCTGCCCTAAAGTACAGAACTTTTAAGATGGTAATTTTTCAGCACATTGAAATATACTTAAAATAATTTGCTCATTAATAATTTGTTAATGTGAACATTATTCTTTTAGTCTTTTTTTATTATTTGACTCTCATTTAAACGAATAAGAAGAATCTAGTCTTATTAGGGAAGACTACTTTTGTGGGAGGGTGCAAAGACTGCTTTTTACCATTTTAAAAAATGTACTAAGATAATTACTAAATCAAAGTATTTTCTGCTTTATGGAAGAAGATTGGAAATATTTACTGTTGAGTCTTTTATAGCTCATAGCAGCTGCATGTGACAAACAGCCCCGAAAATGTTTCTTGACTATAATTTTTAATAAATCTAGATTACTAGATTATTTTTTCTGGACAGCTTTGTAGCAGGTTTGATCTTCCTTGGTTAGCATTCAAATGCTTAATTATTCATTCTGCCTTACCTAACAGTAGATAAACTTGGAATCTGTTAGGGAAAATTTATTTGAAACTTTAATAGTCATCCGTTCAAAGATGAAACTATGACTTTTAGAAGACTGGCTTCTAAAGGGTCCTCTGATAGTTCAGTTGGTGGAATAATGATTTTTTTAAGGCACTACTCATTGTTTTCTAGAATTTCTTCAGCTTTATTGAGACTTTAAATAATGGAGGTTGAGTTCTAAGGGTTCTTACAGTCTCGGGGATTCCTCTAGTCTGTTTTTCAACCAGTAAACCTTTTTCTCGTGTTTTGTCAGAGCATTGGTTGTGGTAGTGACATACCATGTAGTTATAGGCAGTTGGTCAGTTGGACTAATTGCTATATAAGATTTGGGGAGGGGGGGGTTTACCCTCTTTTGCTCCAGACTGGAAGAGACTTATGTTTACATCATAAGTAACTACTTGTAAGTTTGCTGTTTTGTTCTGGTTTTTAAGTTCTAAACTATATTAAAAGTAGCTAAGTCCAAAGAAGAAAAAGTGAAGTGAGAAGACAAGGATTGACAGAGACAATAACTTAACCAGTTTTAGTGAACTGGTGAGGGAAGACTTGGGAGGAAGTGGCATTTCTCTAAAGGCTTGTGGCTGTCAGGAGAGTAAAGTGTTCGAGGTGCGAAGGCAGTACAAAAGGCCTGAGGTTAGGACTTTGGCTTGTTGGAAGATCTGCAAGGAAGCAAAAATAGGTGGAGTCAAGTAAAATCAGAGAGAGAGAGGAGAAATTGAGATCAAGGGACTTTGGGGTTGAGGTTCACATCACACAGCTTTGTAGAACTGAGTGAAATGGGGGTCTGGATGATTTTGAGCAGAGAAAATGATTTGTCTTAACAGATCACTAGACTACTTAGGTGAGAATAGTGATAGGTCTCCTCTGCTAATGAGCTCATCTCAGGAAAGCAAAGGTCATAGTGTTGATCACAGCTGCTTTTAGTGTCCTGCCCAGTGTCTGACTTAGTGATAATTTGTTGGATTAACAAATGAAGGCCTAAGCAATTGGCTAGACAGAAATTGTCATTTCTTGGAGTAAAATGACAGGTAGCAATAATTCAGTCCCAGCTAAGTGTCAGAATTTCAGAGTAATGAGGGAAAGCTGCTGTTTTTATGACTACCATATGCAGACAGTTATACAGATTGAGAAAAAATCATGACGTTTGCTGAGCTCCCCATTACTCATTCAAGTGGGCTGTGTGCTTTTTGCTACTGGTGGCATTAGCATTTGTAAATAATTTTTTCATTAGTAGAGAGGTTATGGTTGTAAACATCTGTTTATCCGAAAGGCAAAGCATTAACAAACTGAAAATACTTTTAGTGCTGCAGCAAGGGGATCTTTTGGGTGGTACAAATTATTATTGTGCTTAGCTAACTAGTAGGTTGATAGTTTAAGTACATTGCTCACAAGTTTTTAAGATTGCAGATTCTACTCACCAAGGTAGTCTGCAGAATGTTTTCTTTATGAACTTTGTTATGTCAGTGATGTGGATGATCTTCAGAATCTATGTATGAACTTTTGCTCTTGGGCTTAGTATCTATTATATCTAAGAAGTTCTATGATTTGCCCCTTGTGTGCTCTTTTTGATTGATACGCGTGCGCGCACGCACACACACACACACACAAATATACATACAGGCATACACACACATATATATGTAGCGTGCCATCAAGTCAGAATTGACTCATAGATGATCCTCCAGTGGGTTTTTAGAGGCAGTACATCTTGTACAAGATTGCCCATTCTTTGTCTGTGGAGCAGCTTGTAGATTCAAACTGGGTCCCTTTGGGATTATAACACAGCTTCTTGACCACTAATTCACCAGAGCTCCCTAATATGTTGTTGCGGTTGTTCCATGCCATCGAGTCATCTGTGAATCATGGTGACCCTATCCATAATAGCTCTGAACTCTGCCCTATCTTGAGCCAATGCCACTGTGTCAGTCCATCCTATCCAGGATCTTCCTCTCTGCACCATCCTTCCACTTTTCCAAGCATGACATCCTTCTCCAAGGACTGCTCCCTCCAGGCAACATCCCCAGTTTGTTACAGCTTCAAAATCCTTTCCTCCAACAAGTAGCTTCACCTCTCCAGGGTGAAATAAGTTGAGAGAGTATTAAACATGTAGCACCTATAATTATAAATGTAGAAATATCCACAGTCAAATACATGGGCATATATGTACCCATAAACCTTCACATACCTATTAACCATATCTATGTATTCATTTACAAATTTTTGTTAATACTATTATTGCACAATTATTTTTGTTACAGTAATTCTGATAACCAAACTAAAGCTAAACATATTACTAATTGATCACATAGTGACCATCCGTTGGGTCTTGGAAGTTTGGAGGTCTGGAAACTGCTTCATCTTTATTGAAAGTCACTATGAGTTGAATTCATAAAAAGCTTTATGGCAGTGAGTTGAGTTTTGGTATGTCTTATTGCAAGCATATTATCAAATGCAAGCACTATCATCTAGTTGGCCTGACTGTTTAATTACTCTCAAGTTTTTATTTTTTGATTTGTGGGTTTTTTGTTTTGTTTTGTTTTTATTGTGTACCATTGAATCAGATCCTACTGGCACAGGATTGTAGCACAGCATCTTGCTACTAGGCCACCAGAGCTCCCTTCCATCAAGTTTTCTGTGTTGAAAATCTTAGGAAGTTTTTCTTCCACATGAGTTTATTAGCCACATGAATGCCTTTTGGGGAAGTGTTTATTCCTAACCTTTGATCATTTTAAGATTAGAGGTGTCTTTTTGTTGTTGAGGTATTGATGTTTTTGATAAATTTTAGAACTTTTCATTTATCTCTTTTGAGAATAGTGTTAGGTTTTGGTTTAGTTCAAATGCCTTCATTTTGAGGAATTTCCCCTTCTTCTGGTTTGTTTAAGGCTTTTTTCAGGAATGGATGGTTAACTTTATCAAATGCAATTTCAAGCCGAGATGATTAAGTGAATCTGTCTTTTTAATGTGATGGATGTGATTCTTCTGTCTTCTTAATGTGATAGATTGTAATTACTGATTTTTTTAAAGCTTTAAGTCATTCTCGCATATTTAATATGAATCCTGTTTAGTTATAGTATATCTTTGACATGCTACTGAATTATATAGGCTAGAATTTTATCATCTATATTCATGAAAAATATTGGTGTTTAATTTTATTTATTTAAATATGTAATATCTTTGACTGGTATGGATTTCAGAGTTATGCTTGCTTCTTAGAATGAATTCAGAAATAGTCCTTCCTTTTTACATCCTCTTGGCATATTCCATATTGAAAGGTCCAACAGCTGCTCTGGTAAAGATATAAAATCTCTCAAACTTTATGGAGGGTTGCCATGAGTCATTGTCACCCCTGTCATTTTACTGTTTTACTTTATAGGCTCCTAATGTTGTCCAACTTACACTGCATAAGAAATTAACCATGGCTTGATTCATTTATACCATGGTCTTCTAACTTAGCTCTTTATCATTTTTGGAGAGGTCCTTGACAGCAGAAGAAAGCTATGAGTCAGTTTTGATTGAACAATTTCTTGTTACTAATTTCTCCTTTTATAGAGGTTTTTAATCCTAGAAAATGCTTTGTAATATTTCAGTGTTCTGGATTTTATTGAGACTTGGTGTGGCCTAAAATACGGTCTTTGGAAGAAGACTGTATGTGTCATAAAAGGATTTATGCTTTGCTGTTCTTGTATGGAGTGATCTATAGAGGTTCAGTTGCTTGTGTCATTTAGAGCTTGTGTATCTACCTATTTTCTTTCTCCTTCTATCCTTCTCCAAAAGTAGTGTGGAACTTTCTATTTTTCTTTTCACTGCTGTTAATTTTTATTTCATTGGTGATGTAGTCAATAAATTACAGGAGAGGAAATTGCCCATCTTGCCACATGGAGTAGCTGGTGGTTTCAAACCGTGTGCTTTCAGATTGGCAGTATAGCTCCTCACAACTAAGACACCTATAAACAGTATTAATATAACTCTCTAAAAATAGTTGACTATAAATTATGATTATTGACTTTAAAGTCATAAATAGATCATAAATAACCTCTTGATGTTTCATTGTGCTGCCCAGGTTACAAGAGTTTCTGAGTTCATTTAAAGAAAAAAATATTTTCTGCTTTATAATTGCATATTGCTTAGTATGCATTTATATTATTATATTCTGCCTAGTATGCATATTGCTTCATTTTGGTAATATGTAATTTTTTTTAATTCATCAACTGTTGCTCAAAAAGTCATCATTGTAGACCCCCAGTTGTATCAGTCTTTATACAATTAGAGATTGTGTAGGTTAATAACCATATTTTGGTTAAAAATAGAAATATTTCATTTCTCTGATCACAGAAATTTCAACTATAAGAGTTAGCATGCTAATTGGGTTCTTCAAGATACTCTTAAATGTCATATAATAATTCTGTTAATTTTTCAAGTTGTTTCAGTTTATTTCCCCAAAGGATGTTTTTCTTCCTAGGAATCTAAATTTGATTAGGAAGTGCTTGCTTATGTTGGTAACAAAAGATGGTAGTTTTACATATACAAAACTGTTACAAAATGAATTCTTACATAATTAGTTTGTATTCCTTCCCAAAGGTACAAGAAACCAGAGGAACGGAGTCCATTGGTAGCAGCAATGCAGCATTTCTTGCCAGGTCTAAAGGATCGTTTTATCCAGCTTCTTCCTGATCAGTCAGATCAGTCTGTCTTAATCCAGAAACAAATACTCAAGATTTTCTATGCTCTTGTTCAGGTAATTTATTTGTTTGTTATTCAAGTAATATCTAGAAAGCATTTTTTTCTATTTTAAAAAAGTTATTGTTTACTGTTTTAAAAGGTAAGCAAATTTAAATATATATATTCAATATTTGCAATAGTGACTAATTATTAATAATTACTAGTAATTAATAATTACTAATTATTATTATTAGTGACTAACTATTAATCTCTGTAGCATATCTCTCCAAGATAAATTTAGAACTCCAGTAAAATTATTAAGATTTTTTTATACCTTTCAAATAGATTTTTAATGATAATTCAGTCTGGGAGTTTATATTTCTGTACCATTAAAAAAATTATTGTGCCATTCACTATTTAATTTTTTTACCCAAATATATTTAGTCATTTTTTTGGTTTACCAAAAAATTGTTCAAAAAAAAGTGTGTATTCTGTTATCATCATGCATTCATTTGGTAAATTTGATAGAATTGGGTTTTACAATGGGTTTACATGGGTTTTACAATGAATACTGGTAGTTCATTGTTGAAATGCTCAGCTATTAAGTGGAAGATTAGTGGATTGGACTCAGTAACTCCAAAGGAGAAAGGACCTAGTGATCTTCTCCTATAGAGATTATAGCCTGAGAAACATTATGGCGTGGTTCGCTTGGTTTTGTAAGATTGCTATAGTGGCATACAGCAACATAGGTTTTGACAAATGCATATTGTCACATAACCACCCTAACAGTATCACATAGATTAGCATCACAATGGGTGTCAACACCTATGCTTTACCTCTTTTTTACCCCTACTTCCCACCTGCTTCTAAAATCTGATTATTTTACTTTGTGAAGTTTTTACCTTGTCTACAGTATCAAATAGTTTGAATCATAAAGAGCTGTTTGATTTCCTGCTTTCATCCAAGAAGTATTTATGATTACTCCATGCCTTTCACAGTCTAATGATGTTTTTCTTTCTACTCTGTTACTATGTTTTAAATGAAAGCTTAGACTTAGTTTTCTTTATCAGCTTTATGCATAATGTTCTCCTCTTGTTTACGATTTTTAAAATGTGTCCACATTCTTTTTCTATTTCAATTGATCTTGCTTCACTTTCTGTCCTTGGCTTCTTTGCTTTTGTTGTGGGGGTGGGAGTGTTATTGACAACTGTTTTGTGTCATATAGTCAATTAAGAAAGCACATTACCCATAGATGGTATTGCTTTTTTTTTTTTGCGATATCCATAAATGTAGGTATTGCTTATTTTTTATACCGGTCTATAATTTGGTTGGAAGGTGACCTGCACAACTAGCTTTATTTCAAAGTTCAGAGGCTAGCACAGTAGTTTCGTGGGTTCCTCTAATCTTTGGCCTTTTTAAGGATTTTTCTCTCTCATTCTTATATAGGTCTTCTGTCATATATTTGTCCTGCTTTGAGACTCTCTATAGCAATCCATTGCTATATTTCTGATCTATTACAAATCTATTTATAAATATTCTATAAATCTATTTCTGATTTTTAGCCACTATTTTCTGAGACTGTAAGTATTAATGGAAAACAGTTGCCCATTTGTCTCACACTGAGCCACTGATAGATTCTAATTGCCATACACAGGGCCGTTTGATTAATAGAGCAACACGTTAGCAGAGCTCCTTGCTTTGAAACGAGAATATTCTTAGATTACAATAAAGCCATGCTGGGTAAAAATATTCTAAAAAGAATATTCTATCAACCAAGTAAGAAAAATAGATTTCATCCCAAGAATGCAAGAGTACGCTAAGGTACTTTCTTTTTAAGCTAATTCATATCACATAAAGGGAGGTGTTATTACTGTAAAGTGTTTGATAAAATATAACTATTCCATCCTTCTTTTAAAACTTGATAAAAGCTTGATAAAAGGTAGTATAAAATCTACAATAGACATCACACTTTATGGTGACAGTAAGATACATCCCCAATAAGATGGAACTCCTCCCCAAAATAAAGATCATTATCACTGTTGTGTACCATTGCAGGTATCTAAATCAGCCAGGTAAATTTACCTTTCTACTAAGAAAAAATAACGTGGATTGAACAATATTTTTTGTAGGTACTGTGAAGAGTATAAGGTATATTTGTATATTTTGTGAATAGTGTGGTAAATATTTCAAATAATGATTTCTTGATTTTAATTTAGTATACACTACCTTTGGAACTGATAAACCAACAGAACTTGACCGAATGGATAGAAATTTTAAAGACGGTTGTGAACAGAGATGTACCTAATGTAAGTTTCCGTGTATTCTCTTTCTTTTTGTACATATAATTTTTTAAAATATTTAATAATAAACTACTACTATAATAATTTATACTACTGTATCTTTCTTTAGAAAGTTTATAATTTGTCAAATGTATTTTTTGAGATAGAGCTATAATTTCATTTATCATATTTTGTGTATTTAATGAATTCTTTTTTTTTAAAGGACACTTTTGTTTTTTAATGTATTTTTATTTGTTGTAGTAGTAGTAGTAGTGTGTTTGTGTACAAGTACTATCAGATCTGACTGGTACAGCTTCTCCAGCAGAGCACCTGGTGGAATCGAACCTCGTACCTCTGGTATTGCAGTGCAGTTTCTTGCCACCAGGCCACCAGAGCTTGCCATATTTAATTCATTCTTAATTCTCAATTATTAAATAAAATCCTAGTAACGTGTTACACTAAATTTGACAGATGTACATACATGGAGAAAGAACTTGATCTATGAGTTCGCAAAACTTATTAATTATCCATTATTACATATTAAATATTAGTATTAATTCTCAGTTATTAAATAAAATCCTAGTAACATATGTTACACTTAATTTGTCAGGAGAAAGAACTTGATTTATGAATTGGCCAAACTTTATGCGGCATTTAGACGTAACTTAAATACCATAAAATAAAATGGACATCTTTAAAAGTCATCTTGGGAAACTCTGGTGGCCTAGTGGCAGAATCTGTGTTGCCATCCTGAAGGCATGTGGATCAAATCCACCAGATCCTCCACTGGAGAAGGAGGGGCAATTTCTTCCCGTGCCAGTCAGATCCGGTTCAACAGTACACCCAAAAAAGGTCATTCTTTTAGTATCCAGCTGTTTGTGGTATATTCAAGTAATGTATCGCTCTGCCACTTCCTATATTCAACCTGTTTTTTCCAGGATAATTCTTTACAATCTAGTTTTCAAAAGAGAAAAATTTTTAAGTCCTGAAAACCTGGTATATGTTTTTACATACTTATATAATATTCAGATGTTTTATCCAGGACTATGAAACAACTTTTTGATTGATAGTTTATTTTCTACTCTATAACAAGGTGTCAGTTTAGTATGTATTTGTCTGCCTTTTAGTAGGTCCAAAATCTAACATGGACCCATGTAGTCATAACCCCAGAATATTTGCTTATCCCTCCTCTTAATTTTATTTTCAGCACAATAGATTAGTTTTGTTGTCGTTCAGTTTATTGTTAAAATCCCCTTTTGTATCTTTTTGTTGTTGTTGTTGAACATGATTTCATTTCTTTGGTAAATATTAAGTAATGGAGTTGAGTCCTACGGTAGTTAAGTATATAGCTATGTTTAATTTCATGACAAGTTTTAGCTTTTATAAGTAGTGTTGGTGTGAGTACAGAAATACATTTCTGTGTATTGTGTTATTTAAGAGTATAATTTCTAATGCTCTTTTCATTATGCACTTAAATGATTTTTAATAAGTTATAATTTTCATAGATTTGAATTTTTAATTTTTTTATTTTTGTGAAGTAAAATACATTGCTTGTTTTTAAAAGGAATAATTTTCTAATGTCTATCCTTTTATTATGAAAGTCAAATGTTGGAGGAATATTTACATTCTTGAGAATCTGTTCTCAACTTGAACTGTTCCTCTAGTTTGCAACAGTGATTAACATCTCTTATTGGTTTTAAATAAATGTCTCTTTATAGGAAACACTGCAAGTTGAAGAAGATGATAGACCCGAGTTGCCATGGTGGAAATGTAAAAAGTGGGCTTTACATATCTTAGCAAGGCTTTTTGAAAGGTAAGTTTTTTGCCACATGTGATTGTTTACATTTATCTTTAAACTTTACGTGTAGAAGGGCTGGTGGTGTGAGGCATTATTTGAATGTTTTATATTCTTTTAGATATGGAAGTCCTGGCAATGTTTCCAAGGAGTATAATGAATTTGCTGAAGTATTTCTGAAAGCATTTGCTGTTGGTGTCCAGCAAGTAAGTTTTAGATAGTTTTTATTTCTATTTGCTTTATTTCTTTGGTAAAGAAAGATTACATACATGGTTGAACCTTAAAGCATTTCTGAAAAATTAGTACTCTTAAGTTGTTGAGAACCTCAGTCTTCTTACATTTTAATAGGTCCTAGCTAGTGGTTTTTACTATTGGTAATTAAAAAACCTTTTAAGGATATAAATTTATTTAAAATAATACTACTTTTTTAGCATAAAAAAGACTAAAATTTTAGCAAGAGGAATAATATTTTTAAATGAATCTTTACTTAAGAATCTATTGTATAGCTTGATAGAAGACACTTGAATCCTTAACATACTTCTGCATTCATGCTATTTTATGAGTATAAAGTGAGAAAATAATGGCTTCAAAGAAAAAAAGTTAGGAGAGAGATGACTATTTTAGTAGTCTTTTCATATTTTTCATAATTTTTTAAATTAATTTGTATCTAATCAAATCGGCAGGTTTTTAAAAAGTTTAATTGCAATGTAGAATTTGAAAATACAACAGCATTATACTTTGTACACAGTAGCATTAAAGCCCATTGGTTTGTATGCATCTCGTCATTTGGAAAGTGTTGACTTTTTCAATTAACTACAGACCATCTCATTTTATAATACTTTTTTAAAGTCACATTCATGAATATTGTCACACCATCATAAACATTTTCAAAAATTGGAAAGCCACCAAACTACACTGTTGGATCTACATTTTACAGAATTTTTCTCCCCCCCCCTGAAAGCTCAAATCTGTCATTGTAATAAATCTAAATTGATCATAACTTGTCTTTGCTTTCAAGGCTATAGCAGGGTTTGATGGAAAACAGCTTTGTGTACTTTCCATCTCAATTTCACAAATTCTTTTCTTCCAGCTCTTATACTTTGGTACACAACAGAGACGTGCATTGTATCTGTATATAATTTTTCTATTTAATACTCAGTTTTTTATTAAAGACATTTTTTATAATCATTGTTCTGTAAGTATGTGATTATAAAAAGCACAGTGCTGACTCCATTCATGTTATTAGATGTCAGTGAGTTTGTTCTAACAGAGACCCTAATAATGTTGAAAGAACATGACACAAAGTCCCTTCTAAGGAACATTCTGGCTCTACTTCAAATTAGATACCAGAAATTTTACATTGTTGTACTTTTTGTAATTTTCTCTTTTTTATGATTATTCTGAACCTAGTTCTTTGATACAGGATTGCTTTAGTTATTAAGCAACTTTAAGTTTTGTTCTCTAATTTATGAAAATTATTTTGAAGTAATAAAGTTGCCATTTTTGTAATCTCTAGGCATTACTTTTTCAGTACTATCTTGTAAATGTTTAACAAATTTATTAAATTTGTTATTTGATAAAATTTTTTTTAAGGTTTTATTGAAGGTATTATATCAGTACAAGGAAAAGCAATATATGGCTCCTCGAGTTTTGCAACAGACATTAAATTACATTAATCAAGGAGTTTCCCATGCCCTCACCTGGAAAAATCTGAAGCCTCATATACAAGTAATACTTTCTATTAAAATAATCTTTTGGGGATATTTTTTGGTATTTTCTTAAATTTTTTTATTTAGTTCTGGTTACTGTTTTTGTAAAATGAAATAAAGCAAAATCACATGAAAGTATGAGAGATGTTTGATGTTGTGAATATTTAAAACTCTTTTAAGTTCCTACCCTATGATACTATATAATTAGCATAATTGTTATGTAATGGGGTAAACAATGGACTTTTATTTTACCAGATTATTTTTGAGGTAACTGAATCATCTGCTATTAGTAATCTATTTGCATTATTTAGAGCTTTAATAAAAATTTCATGTTTCATTGCTTTAAATTATTTAGCTGCTGTTTGTCTTATTTTATAATGACAAGTTAGAGAAGTGTGATTATGTAGACTTATTAGTTCATTTGTGAATGAATTAAAATTGTAGTACTAAACTTTTTAAAATATAATGTTTAGTAACTATTTAAAGTGATTTTTTTTTTAAAAGTAAGATCATTACTTTTTTAACTTTTAAATTACAGGGCATTATCCAAGATGTTATTTTTCCATTGATGTGCTATACAGATGCTGATGAAGAACTTTGGCAAGAAGACCCTTATGAATATATACGTATGAAGTTTGGTAAGAAATTTTTTACTCTTTATTAACATGAGTAAATAAAAATTAAAGTTGCTGTTACAAACCTGGGGCATTAAGACTTCCATTTTAATACAGGAAAAGGTCTTGTGGTGTTTAGTGTTCATTATCACTTTTTTAGACCTCCTTCCATTTGTTAGTTATGACATTTGCTGATGACATTCTTTATTTTTAGAAGATACAAATACCATTATTTGTGAGTTGTGATTATTACATATATTCTGGCTTTTAGGTCCCATGTCACTTGTAATAAGTATGAGAATTAAGAATACTAGATTTTCTCACATGAAAAGGAATTGAGGAATTATAGTTTAGCCAATCCTACTTCCAATGTAACCAACTTCTTTAAAACACAAAGGCATGCGCACCGGTTTAAAGAAGCTTTCCAGCCCGTAACTGATTGCTAATCAAAACCATCTGTCAGATTAATAAAATTAAAAGAGCCAATCAGCTTTTGTACCTTACCTGTTTTGTACCTGAATCAAGACAGTTGCTTCAGTCAAGAAGCTCCAAACAAGAGGCTCACAGGCAGGGCCAAACTACTTTTTAAAAAAATTTTATTTATCTTTTTTTGTTGATGGTGTTGTGTACTGTCGAATCAGATCCAGCTGGTACAGAAGGAGATTGCCCCTCCTTTTCCAGCAGAGCATCCTGGTGCATTCTGTGTGTCTTTGGGATTGCAGTGCAGCTTCTTGCCACTAGGCCTCCAGAGCTTCCTACCGAACTTCTTTAAACACAAAGGCTTCCAACCCACGACTGATTACTAATTCAGTCAAAATGACGAGTCAGCTTCAAAACCACCAATCTGCTTCCACCTGATTAATAGTTAAATCAAGAAACTTACCTTTGGGAATCCAACTTCTTCAGACAAGAAGTAATGGGCAATATATTGAATGATCCAGAAAGGATCAAAAGATGGACGGAATACACAGAATTACTGTAGCTATAAAGAAATAATTGACAGTGAAGAATATCAGGTAATACCATATGAGTAGGAGTTAATGGCAATGAAGGCATTGGCAAAAAGTACCAGGAATTGATAGGATACCAGTTGACATGTTTTAATTAACAGTAACATGCAGGCTTGGATACATTCACCAGTCTCTAGCTGTCTAGCCGGGGAATTGGAAGAAGTACATATTTGTTGCCATTCCATAGAAAGATGATCCAGTAGAGTGTGGAAGCTAATGAACAGTTTCATTAATATCACATGCAAGCAAAATGCTGCTGAAGATAATTAAAAAACAGAACAGTATATGTCAGAAGTTCAAGTGAGGTTTAGAAGAGGCCATGGCACCAGGGATATGAATGCTAATGTCAAATGGATCCTGGCTGAAAGAAGAGAATGTTGTTGTTTAGTGCCACCGAATGCAGGTGACTCATAGCGACCCTATGAAAGAGAGTCCTCAACGGTTTTGTGTCTTTCATCCTCTCTCCAGGTTCATAGGGTTTTATGGAAGGTATTATGGAAGTGGATGCCATTCCTTCCAAGCTTGTTTTAATCGGGGAGCTCTCCAGCCCATACTGTCTGCATTGGGTAACCAACCATTAATGCATATGACACAATCAGTGTCACGGTGTTCAGCCTCACAGCAAGCACAAGTTACCACTGTATGGCAAGTGGACACACCAGGGCTAGAGGACTGTTTGAAACAAGAGATAGCAGAAGAATATCTATTTGTGCTTTATTGACTATGCAAAGGCATTTGACTATGTGGACCACTTAATTGTGCTCATGTGAAATCTGTACCTGGGCTTTTATGCAAACAGAGAAGGGAAACATGTCATAGTTTAAAATTAAGAAGGTCAGTGTTGATTCTCTCCCCATGCCTAGTCAGTCTGTATGCTGAGCAAATTACTTGAGAAGCTGGATTGTATATGAAGGGGAATGTGACATCAGATTAGGAGGGATACTCATCAATAACCTGCGTTATGCATATGACCCAGCCTTGCTGGCTGAAAGTGAGGAGGACTTAAAGCACTTGCAGAAGATCTAGGAATGCAGCTTTTGATATGGATTGCATCTCAATTCAAGAAAGCAAAGATTCTTACCCCTGGACCAATACGCAACTTCATCTTACTTGGATTCACAGTTAAGACCCTTAGTACCATGAGTTAGGAAGGAAACTAGGGGACGTATTGCATTGGGAAAGTCTGCAGTTAGGGACTTCTCCAAATTATTGAGGAGTCAGTTCACGGACTAAGGTGCGACTGTTTCAGACTGGTTTTTCCAGTGTCTTGCTGAGCATTTGAGAGCTTGACAGTTAATAGGGATGATAGAAGAAGAATTGATGCCTTTGAGTTGTGGTGTTGAAGAAAACACTGAATATCCCATGGACTACCAAAAGAACAAATTATGTCTTGGAGAAGGTGCAGCTGGATTGCTTTTTAATGGCAAGGATGACGAGGCTTTGCCTCACATACTTTGGGCATGTTAGTAGGGGCTGTTCCTTAGAGAAGGGTGGAGGGTCTGCAAAGAAGAGGAAGATGCTCAACCAGACAACTGAATTGGTAACTATCACAGTCAGCTTTTAGGTGTCAAGAAGTGTGAGGATGGCAAAGGATAGAAAAGGATTCAGATCACTTGACTTCATATAATATACTGTAACTAATTTGTGCTTTTGTGATATTGTGAAAAATCTCAAAAAGTTGCATTGGTTGTGAAAGAAAACAATTGTTAGAAATTACCATTTTAAGAAATCTGCAGAAGAGATAGCTTTTGCAATTATTTCAGCATTTGCTTTCATTTTCAGTTAGGCGTTGGGGTGTGTGTGTGTGTGGATGAATATGAGTGAGAGAAAATTTTTGTTGAAGAAACTAACATGGCTTTTTTCTGTCTTAATTTTCAATTTGTTCTCTAGATGTATTTGAAGATTTCATTTCTCCTACCACTGCTGCCCAGACACTTTTGTTTACAGCGTGTAGTAAGAGAAAAGAGGTGAGTTATTTAAACATATTTAAATGTTTTAAAACATTTAAAAAGTTATTTTAAAAAGGTACCTTTTGCTTGTTATTTTTAAAATGTTTCAACTATACAGGCAGGCAGGTTTTTAGAATTGAACATATAAATTTTATTAATACCTTTTATGGATCATTGTGATATATAATAATAAAATACTACTTTTTAAATTTAGGTTCTGCAAAAGACTATGGGATTTTGCTACCAGATTCTTACAGAACAAAATGCTGATCCTCGAAAAAAAGATGGTGCCCTGCATATGATTGGATCTTTAGCAGAAATACTTCTGAAGGTATGCATGTGTAATGTACTTGTGGACGGATTGTTTGACTTGTGTGTTTTCAAGGTTTGTCCATATTTTAGCATATGTATCAATATTCTTTTTTAAAAAATTTTATTAATTTTAATGAAGTTTACAGAGACTTAAGATTTCCAGTCATTCATTGTTGCCCTTCAATACTCTTTCTGTAGTAATGCTTGCATTTTCCAAGCTTTTTTACTACTACGAATAATACTTTTTTTTTTTTTAATAATACTTTTCACATTCATTTACAAGGATGTCTATGTACATAGGAGTGAAAATGGCTGTAATCTTTATGGAAATAGCTCACCAGATTTATTCTTCACCCAGTGGCTAAATGAATTCCAACTGCCAACCATTTTTTCAAGCACTTAGCTCTTTGCCTAACTAGGGTTCCTAAGTTAAATGTAAAAGTATTAACCATTTTGAAATAATTTTAAACTTAATTATGATAAATAGTTCCTTTTACTCTTTCAATCACTAGGTTTATATATCCCTGGTTTTACTCTTTTGGCAATAATTAAAAAGAAATACTAATACTACATTAATCAAAGAAATCTGAAATATGTAGTTTGGTATTTTGTTTAAACAAAAGTCCTCAAAATAAATGAATACATTTTCTTTAATACTATTAAGCTTCAAATCTTGACATTTTCTATTCATGTCCTTTATATCTGTTCCATGATTCAGTCCAAAACTCCACATTTTGCATTGCCCCTTTTCTGTTTTTCCAATTGTGTTTCTTGTTTGTTAATGCTGTAAGTGCAGGTCAAGAGTTCTTAAAAAGGCATGTTATCAGTAAGAAAAAAATTGATTTATGAGACTATTTTTTGAGACTCTTAGTGGCATAGTCTGTAGGAGTTGCACTGCTAACTCAAAGGTCACATCTTAATTCACTTAATGTGACTTAATAAGTGACTGTCTTAATTCACCGGCTGTTCTTCAGGAGAAAGATGGAAAATGTCCACCTGTGTGATTTGATTCACAATTTCTGAAAACCCAAAAGAGGATTGGCAGAATTGGTTCCAATTCATTCGAATGAATGAGTTAAGCTTTGTTGAGTGGTGTGTTTGTTGTTTTTCACCCCCCACCCCTTGTTACTTAGTTTAATATGAGAATGAGGTTTTTCTTACTTTTAAGTTCTGTTTAATTAAAAATTTTATTACTTATTTTTACAGAAAAAGATCTACAAAGATCAGATGGAATACATGTTGCAGAATCATGTATTCCCTCTCTTCAGCAGTGAACTAGGATACATGAGAGCAAGGGTATGTTTAAATTCAGTTCATATTTACATCTTGTAAATAGTGGCTTATATAGACTTTGCTATTGAAACTTTTATGCTCACATTAGAAGTTGTATAGATAGTATTCAGGTTATAAACTCAAGCTTATATAAATTTGCCTCACTTAGAAATGATTGAGCCAACCCCAACTTGATAACAGATGCATCTTTCAAATTAACTATAAAAAGCCTTTTCTTGCACTTAAGGGTATATAAAAACTTGACTCAACTTAACTAAAAATTCTTAAGAGACATGGGAATGTATTTATTTGGTACCTTGATAAAATGCCTATGTTTTATTTTAGGCTTTTTAATGTAAGCAATTAAATAAATGGCTGCTATACAGTGTGTGCATAGTTTTCATCTGTGTCTGGTAGTAGTATCTGTCTGTGTTTTGCATTCAGATCTTGCTATCCACACAAATATAATGCAGCCAGAAAGTATCTTGGGATCATAGTACTGGTCTAGTGTTGTCTCTGGACACATTTACCACTGGCCAGCCTCCAAATTCCCACACAACCTTGCAAGTTAGAGGTATAACGTGGGGAAGTTAATATAAGAAATCTAGAATAATTTACTACATCTTTTTTTCTTTCCATTTTATTTATATTATTAAAAAGGCTTGCTGGGTCCTTCATTATTTTTGTGAAGTAAAGTTCAAAAGCGACCAGAACCTGCAGACAGCCTTAGAACTAACAAGAGGATGTCTGATAGAGGATAGGGAAATGCCTGTGAAAGTGGAGGCTGCTATTGCACTTCAGGTGTTGATCAGCAATCAAGAAAAAGGTAAAAGCTATCTAGGCTAAGAATAATGGTACATCCTAATACACAATTACATGTTATTTGTTGGTTGGGATGGGGTTTTTTTAAGTTTGGTTATATATTCTACCAGATTTTAAGAATTTTTATCTGTTTTGTTCAGAATATGTTGGTTTTTTTCTCTTACAGCTAAAGAATATATCACTCCATTCATTAGACCTGTTATGCAGGCTCTTCTTCACATTATAAGAGAAACTGAAAATGATGATCTCACCAATGTAATTCAGAAAATGATCTGCGAGTATAGTGAAGAAGTAACTCCTATTGCAGTAGAAATGACACAACATTTGGTATGTTATTTGAACCCTTTATATAAGCATTTTGCTTTTTAGCTCTTACTGGCATTATGTCACAGGTTGCTTGTTTGAGTTAACTTTTTAACAGTCACAGACTTGCCTGTATAACAAATATTCCTGGATACAAATAAAACTATCCTCATACAGTATTAAAAGAGGAATATTTCTCTTTGTCCAAGCTACTAAGATGGGTCTGGGATTCAAATATTGGTGATCTGCCTACATGGTTTTTGTTCTTAATCACTGTGTTGTCCTGAATTATGGCTGTTATTTAAAAATGAAATAGTTATAAATAGATTTATTTAAAAGACATTTCTGTGACTAGTGGTTGGTTGTTTTATGGCTTTCTTCACTTTCATACTCAGATTGCTGGGAATTGGCAATGTAAATTATTTAAGAGTAAAGAAAGAAAGGAACAAGTGTCCTGTAACTACCATTCATAGTCTATTTATAGTGATTTACTTGATAGTTTCAAATTTTTCTGAGAATTAAATTTTAGAGTCTTCTATTTCATAAGAAAGTTTTAATAAAATAGTTTTCATTAAGTGTGTATACTGCATTTCTAGTTGTTGTTGTTGTTAAGTGCCATCAAGTCGCAGGCAACTCAATCACTGATTGATACACATTTTCATTTCTCTCCGTCTCATCTCCAGTTCACTTTGGATTTTTTTTTATTCATGCACATTGTGTTTTATATAATCATTCATATACACTGTTGTTGTTATGTGCCGTCGAGTCGCTTGCGACTCATAGCGACCCTATGCACAACAGCCCTAAACCCTGCTCTGTCTTGTGCCAATCACACTGTCTCTGACACACCCATCCCGTTTATCCCAGTCACTGAATCAATCCACCTCATAGAGGGTCTTCCCCTCCTATGCTGTCCCTCCACCCTACCAAGCATGATGTCCTTCTCCAAGGACCAGTCTCTCCTTACAACATGTCCAAAGTATGTTAGACGGAGCCTCAGCATCCTTGCCTCCAGGGTTTAACCACCCGGTTTTTAACCCTTTCCAGGACAAATCCGTTTGTTTTCCTAGCAGTCCATGGTATTCTCAATACTCTTTTCCAGCACCACAGCTCAAAGGCATCAATTCTCCTTCTGTCCTCCGTAGTCACTATCCAACTCTCTGACGCATAACAACTGATTGCAAAGACCATGGCCTGTATCAGGCACACCTTAGTCTCCAGAGTGACACCATTGCTCTTCATTACTTTGAGAGGTTCCTAACAGCTGACTTTCCCATCGCAATGTATCTTTTTATTTCCTGGACTAATAAGCTACATCATGATAAAGAAAGTTTCCAAGAATTTTTTACATGAAACCACAGTAAGCACAAATGAAGGCACTAATCAAACAACATATTGCTTTGAGTATCTGCTGTAAAAATCCTCTTAAAGTGTTAAAAAGCACACTGAATAGCACATAAAGATAGGCCTGGACTAATCCATCGTGTTTTCCACCATCTACATGTGAAAGCTGGAAAATTAATAAGGAACAGAAAAGAATAATTGATATTTTTGAATTGCATTGTTATGGAAATCATTGAATATACCATAAATTGCTAAAAAATGAATAAATCTATAATGGAAGAATTATAGCCCGAATATTGATTAAAATAGCAAGACTTCAGGAGATTTACCTTGGGCACGTTATTAGGAATTGTTCTTTGAGAAGGACATCATGTTTTGAAAAGTAGAAAAAAAAGGAATACATTTGAGATAGGTTAACCCATGGCAGATGGCAGCAGTAGCAATGATGGCACAGCACCATGCAGTTTTTAATTTTTTACACCTGTGATCAATTTAAGTCAGAACCTCCTCACCTAATAAGAGTTTGGAGACATTAATTTGTTACGCTGTCCTAAAGATGTAAAGATTTTTTTAGTCCTAAACCAAATACAGCATTAATGGTAAATATAAAGTATATGTTTTCTTGAATCCAGGCAATGACATTTAATCAGGTAATTCAGACTGGGCCAGATGAAGAAGGAAGTGATGACAAAGCTGTTACTGCTATGGGAATCTTGAATACAATTGACACACTTCTTAGTGTAGTTGAAGATCATAAAGAGGTAAGAAAATGATTCAGTATTTTACTGGTTTTAGAGAGTGCTCAAACCAGTATAAATTATTTGGTCTGTGTTTTGCTTATTTTTTTTATCTTTTTTTTTAAAACTTTTTTATTTATATAGCTGGTAATCTCAGGTACCTTGATTTTGCTATTTTAATGTTTCACTAGGATTTCTTTAGAATGCTCTCTTAAGCATCTAAGTTTCTATGGTTAGTAAATGGAATGTGAAACATTTTTTTTTCACATCTCTTGACATTGGGGCTCAGGGAACTCTGGTGAGGTAGTTTGTAAGGAGTTCAGCTGCTAACGAAAAGTGCTTCTGTGGTGATTTGAATCTTCCAGTAGCCTTGAGGGAGGGAGAGATAGGGGCTCTCTCCTTCTAGGCAGTTTACAGCTTCTCCCTGGAAGGAGTCTGTTCTGACTTTAGAGCAATGAGTGAAATATTTGGGATTTTTTTTAGTCCCTCTTTGGTTTTATATTTATTTATAGATACAGTTAAACTCTCTTAATTTCTTTCCCCCTATATGTCCTACTGTCCTGTACCTAATGTTTATAATTCCAGTGCAAGTATATGTGTTACACATACAGTATATATTTTGCCTAATTTAAAGTTGCCTTTTTCAACATGAGCCTTTTTTATTGTGGATCATCATTGGAGAAGATAGATAGAAACCATGAGGAATCTTGGTACTGCTTCATTTTTCTACAAAATGAGCTGAATTATTGTTTCTACATAACGAGCACATTATTGAGTGCTTTGTTAAGGAGGAATGTTGTTACTGTTATATGCTGTTGAGTCAGAATTGACTCATAGCTAGTCCTCCAGTGGGTTTTCAGAGGCTCTAAATTACATGGGAGGAGGTGGTCCATCTTCTCGTAAGGAGCAGCTGGTGAGTTTGAACTGTGTGCCTTTAGTTGGCAGAACAACTCCTTATTAATAGCTTGCTTTAGTATATGACAACTTAATATTAGTCTCTTTTAAAACACTACTCTGGAAGGCATTTGGAATTTTAAAAAAATCTAATTCTGGATTCTTTTCAAAAAGCTGGACATAGATATATACACACACATATACATATATAAAATCAATCCAGCTTTTCCACTGCTAGGAATATACCCCAAGGAAAATAGAACATCATGAAAGTGTTCATAGTAAGTAGCATCATTCACAATACCAAGAAAATGGGAGAAGTGCAAATGTCTATTACCAAATGAATGGATTGAGAAATTGTGGTACATTCACATGATGAATTGCAGCACTTACGAACTATGATTTCGAAAAATACTATATAACATGGGAGATGCTGGAGAGTGCTATGCTGTGTGAACTAACTCAGTCTCATAAAGACAAATACTACATAAGACCATTCTTGTAAAAATAGAGTAATAGCTAGTAAAATGTATATGTATGCAAAAGTCTGAACGGGGAAGAAGGGAGAAGAGGAAGGAACCATGAGGTTACAGAGTTGTTTTTTTTTGGTTGTCTTTAGTTTTATTAAATTTTATTACTTTTGTGTGAGTGTACCATCAAATCAGATCTGACACAAAAAATAAAAAATACATTTAAAAAAAAACACTCTACTTTTAAAAAAATATTTTATTTTATTATTATTTTGTGTGTGAGTGTACCATCAAATCAGATCTGACTGGTACAGGAGGAGACTGTCCCTCCTTCCCCGGCAGAGCATCTGGTGGATTTGAACTGTGCGCCTCTGGGATTGTAGTTGCAGCTCCTTGCCACTAGGCCACCAGAGCTCCCCTGAGGTTACAGAGTTTTATGGAGTGAAAGAATTAAGAAAGATCCAGTGGGGACCTGAAAAAAAGTAATACTGATGATTAATTTTATGAAACACAATGTGTGGGAATGATCATATGAAACAGTGAGCAATGTGTAAAACACAATGTATATGAATTTTGGGGAGCTCTGGTGGCTTAGCTGCAGGAAGCTGTGCTGTAATCCTGAAGGTGCATGGTTTGAATACACCCAATGCTTACACCCAATGCTCCGCTGGAGGAGGGGCATGGTACACAATGTATATGAATTTTATATGCAGACAAATATAAAATAAATTTTCTTAAATTGAGGTTTTAGCTTTAAGTTTTTATTAGTTGGGGCCCCTGTATTCACTGTATTTAATAGAATATGAAAATTAGTACTTAATTTCAAAAATTCGAAATTTAAGAATTACTAGGATTGTAGATGCTTGCCTTTAGATATTTTTTGCAAGCTCACAGTAACCTTTTAGTTATATTGCACTAACTTATATACACATGAAAAATCTGTAGGCTGTCTGCAAAATGGTTGTAAACTTATTTCTAGAATTATTTTTCCTTCCTTAGATTTTTTTCTTTTTTTTTTTTAGGTAGCTAAGCAGATTATTTTTGTATGTTTCCATATAATATTTTTATTAAATGTCCTTTCTGATTAGCTCACCATTTCATAATATGAATATCAAAACAAAGACTTCTTAACAGTGACTGTATCAACAGTTTTAACAGTTGATACAGATACATTCCATAACTTATAGTTTGTATTACTTTAATAAATTATTGTGTGTGCTTCAGTTTCTTATGATTTTTCCCCCACCTTCTTTTTAGATAACCCAGCAACTTGAGGGGATCTGCTTACAGGTCATTGGTACTGTTTTACAACAGCATGTCTTAGGTATGTACTTCTCATTTTGCTAACAGTTTCTACTATTTTATACCAGCAAACACTATGCTAATAACATATTCCTCTCCTTTACAGAATTCTATGAGGAGATCTTCTCATTAGCACATAGTTTGACTTGTCAACAGGTGTCTCCACAGATGTGGCAACTACTACCTCTTGTGTTTGAGGTCTTTCAGCAAGATGGCTTTGATTACTTTACAGGTAATTAAAAATCATTTGGGAAATACTGTGTCATGTGTGAGCTTATATACCACACACCCTCAGTTAGGTTTACTTTGTAGCACATTACTTAACTAATTGTTACTATTCAGCTCTTAGTAGCAATTTATATGTCAACTTGTCTGCACTACTATTTTTAGTCATTTAGCAATTATGATGTGTCATCCTTCATTTTGTGTTCAGAAGTTATCACCCGCCAGTATTTTGCACATCCATTTTCATATAATAACCTAGTCTTTTAAACCTAATCAAGTTTGAAGCAGATATATTTTGATAGTTTTTCACTTTTTTCTTTTTTAAATTTTTCTTTTTTTAAATACTCTTCGGTCCTTGTGTATCATATTTATGTGTATATACTATACAAATGACTTGTCTTTAATAAGTTCATCTCTGTATTTAAATATAAGTGAATGGTACATAAATGGAAATTTTTTAAAACCAAAGACTACACATTTATATTAATAAATATTTATAACTGATGTTTTTTATTAATACAGATATGATGCCTCTGCTTCATAATTATGTAACAGTTGATACAGATACACTTTTATCTGATACAAAGTATCTGGAAATGATCTATAGTATGTGCAAAAAGGTAAGTCATTTTTAAATCCTTTCTGAATATTACATTGTGATAAACACCACATTAGATTGACATAAATGATGATAGTATAGAACAGAGTTCAGGTCTTTTGTGCGAAGCTTACTCTGAGTCGTATTTGACTTGACAACACTTAACCACTGCTAAATGAAACTAGGGCTGTTTTATTTGGAGGAACACTCTCCACTCTGTACAGCACTCTTTGTCAGTGTGCTATAAGAACTAACCTGGGTTTGCAGTGATGCTGAAACTTGTACTGTTAGGGTATCAAATACTATAATGGTTTCCCAGTGTGGACAGTGTTTGGTGTTGCTCCCAGGTGTAAAAAAGATTTGGAAGTAGGAGTGGTATCTAATTCCTAAACCATATTCCTCTGGAAACTATGAATTTGGAGAAATGACAATAGTTATGCAAAACCCTTAGGTCTCTTGTTCATAAAGTTACTGTTGCCTTTTTGAGAAACACACTTATCTGTAGTGGGTATTTAAGGAGATGGCTTAAACCAAAGATATATGGTAAGTTCTCCCACCCCCTACTTTGGTTCTAAAGACTAAAAGTTGATTAGAGGTGCTTCAATACAAAAATCAATGTAATTGGTTGTGTAATTCCTCAGTTTTTGTGAGGCAGTAGTCTGTTTATTGAAATTCAGTATATACTTATACATGCCTTCAAGTTGTAACTTGACAACTGGGTCTACATTGGAATTATCAATTTGTAAAATGCATAGGAGATTGGCTGTCTTTCTCCTTTAGAGCCACTGGTATATTTGACCATCAGATTGGCATGGCCTTTGGGTAAGAAGTACAATACCCTATGAACTGCTACCATCATTCTCTATGATATGCTGCATTGCCAACATTTGGTTTGTTCCATGGGAGAAAGATTAGCAGTCATCTTCCTTGTGTTTTGGTGCCTGTGAAAACCATTGGAGGGTCAGCTGTGTTTCATTTCTGATTTTGACTACACTTAACAATAACAGCAGTCTTAAAACTAAGTTTCTCTGAAACAAATACAATTGCTGTTCAATAATATTAGCTCCAGAACTAAATGACATCTTTTTTAGTCTTCACTGCAATTGGATCTGAATTAATTCCTCCCCAAAAAAGGTTCCATCTAATGCTTAGTTCATTTCAGGAAAAACAATTTACTAGCAGTACCAGCTTCTTAGTTTTTTGAGTGCTGTATACCACCACCTATATTTTAGGTGGTAATTATCGACATGGTTTAGGATCCAAGTACACATTACAGAGTAGATTCTTTTCTTATGTGGACCAATCTACCAGAACAGTAGACTCAAGACATAGAAGCAAATAATTCCAAATCTTTCTAGGTACTTTCTACCATAGTTTGTGTAATGAATACTGACTGAGCACTCATGTTAATTAAGATAATTATACAGGCAGCAAGATATGTTTCCCTGATAAACTCTGATATTTCTTTACTTTTTTAAAATTAATTTTAAGTTTTTTCTTTACAATTTTATGGTCTGTTTTGATCAGGTTCTTACAGGAGTTGCAGGAGAAGATGCAGAATGTCATGCAGCAAAATTATTGGAGGTCATCATTCTGCAGTGCAAAGGACGTGGCATTGATCAGGTCAATAATGCTAAGCATTAGTGATTCATATTTAAATATTTAAAGGAGGAATCTTTTTAAGAGGCATTTGTTAATATTCCGCAGAGGGCTTACACCACCAGCTCTACTCCATTTCTAGTTGCCATAACTAACCCTGTGTCCCCCTTAACAGAGTCAGTACTTTTTATTCACTGTCCTGTTGAAGTAGTTCACCAGGAAATCTGGCTTTAGAGAAAGTCAAATCTTCACAGAGTACTTAACAAAAATTAGAATCATAAAATCAACAATAATCTTCCTGGGACTGGCTATACAAATATTCTCATTATAAAACGATGTAGTAAGCCATATTCTCTCACAACTTAATTATACTCTTTTTTTTTAATATTTTTTATTAACAGATACACATAAAACTTTCCAGTCATATTTCTGCCAGTGTTAAATAAAAGTTCACTAGTGTATTGTGAAATTGTAAACCAACAATTTAAAAATTAAATTATCTAAATACATAAGCAACTAGAAGTAGGGTAGACTCAGTTATATACTTTGTTCTCAGATACACCTGGAAGGTAGGTGGTTTGAATCTAGCCAGAGACACCTTGATGAGCTATCAAAAAAAATTACAATGTTGGAATATTTTGCTACCTTTCTTTCTAGTGCATTCCCTTATTTGTGGAAGCTGCCTTAGAGAGACTGACCAGAGAAGTTAAGACGAGTGAACTTCGAACAATGTGCCTGCAAGTTGCTATTGCAGCGTTGTATTATAAT